ACACACACACACACACACACACACACACACACACACACACACACACAGAGATTCCTACAAAATAAGAAAACACAATGTGCGAGCCATATTCTAACTAATTAACCATGTATCTGACCTAACACCTTGCTTTATCTGCAATCACTTGTGCTATTTTTGGCCCATTGTGTTTGGAATGATGTGATGATGGAGGAAAGACCACGGCTTTAAACATAGCGGGGGAGGGGGGACGCATGGGTTCATGTAAGCCGAGGAGAAATAGGAAGTCACATTTGCAAAAAGGGAAGCGTTTTGTGCTCGGTAACTGTTACTGTAACCGCCAGACAAACAATGAGAGAATAAGAACCTTCGAGCCGTCTTAAAATGACAGCTGGGAACCAAAGAGAAAACATGAACACATTCAATGCGCTCAACTTTTAGCCATGTGAAAATACAAACAAGCATGTGATCCTTTCTATAACTTAACTTAAAATTGGGAACAGAGCTTACTTTTCCTTTAATAACAGAAAAAACGTGATACGAGTCACTCTACTATTTGCACTACTTTATGGATATACGCTGTATGCTCATGCTACCCTTAAACCATTGGGTACCATTCATTACTCCAGACATGCATCGCACTCACCGCTGTGAGTTACATGAAACGGTCAGATGACCGTCGCTTACATCCAGAAGGCAGACTGACATTGTTTTTATTCCATTGCGCCAGACACTTAACATCGTTGTGTAGAATGTGAACAACCGTAACAACAGATCACAGTTCAGACGTGCTTTAAATGTTTCTCATACCAACTGTGATCTTGGGGAAGATAACTTGCTACTGTAATGGACTGAAAAACAAACCAGAGACACCCGCTCCTCCGTCTCAAAGTCCTACTTACTGGCATTTCAATAATATTTGTGACCGTTATAATTAGTGTCTGTGCGTGCACGATGGCCGCTTTGTGTGACTTGTGAGGCCGTATAAATATAATTTTGTTGTCAAGTCTCTCTTGTGGAAGAGATCTTGATTCGATGAGACTTCCTGAGTAAGGAAAGGAAAGCCGGTAAATAAGTACGCCTTGAGGAGAAAGAAAATACATTTAAACGGGAAAAATAGAGTTTAAAAGCAACTTGTGGTGGTGGCATAACGCTATTTTCCTCACGAGGTTGGCAACAAACAAGGCGGCTATAAATGCATGTTCGCTGTGTCGCCAGTGGATTTCATCATCAGACCCCTTATTATTATTATTGACATCTATCCTGTGTCAACACTGATATTAATCAATCGTAAATACGGTAGAATAAATAGTTTTATAGGTTTTATAGTCTTATTCACAACAGTCGCAAACTGGAGACTGTGCACACGTTCCAAAACAGATATGGCTCTCATCTAAAGCGTAAATTACATTCAAAACATGTAAATCGCCAAAACTTTAGGTTGATAGTGAGAGTGCTTTAAAACCGCCTCGGCAGATAACCTGTATTTTGTAATAAAGTCTGTTATATAGCCGGGCGGATACCAGAGAGCGTCTCTCACTGGGGGATGAGGCGGACTCTGACAGAGAAGTACACATTCTGGAGAGCCATTCAACATGGAGTGTTTGCACAGCTGACTGGCACAGCGCTCACAGCAGTCGAGTGACCAGGAACAAGACAGGCTGTCGGAAGCAAAGGGATAGGCAAACAAAAAAATGTGAAATAATAAAAATAAAAACATTGCTCAAGATTCATCTCTCCACCGCAATAGCACCCAAAGCAACCGTCTTGTCGACGACAGGAAATGAATCGCACAAACACGGTCAAGAGTCTGAATGCAAATAGGTCTTATGTGTACAACTGAAGCAGGTTTTCAGAAATTCTCGTTTTCAGAACGACTCAATGCCTGAGGACAAAAACATTCTAAACACCCACGCCAGGCAGCATCAAGAGGAGGAGGCATCTATAACCACAGGGGGGGAAAGATACGGCACATAAAAGAGCCTCGAATGTTGAAAATGAAAAGAAAGAAAAGCAGTTTTCAAACATCTCATGTTAAGACAAGACACAGCACAAACACAGCCAGTGCAATACAAGGTAAAGAACATGAATAAAGCTTGTTATGTTGTTGATGCAGGTAACGCATACACACTAATTCAAGTTCTACAATCCTTTCTGAAGTAAATTGCATTGTATTTGAAAGAAGTCTTTATTGTCTCGCTAGAGTGCTTGGTGTTACATTTGATCAGTGTCACAAAAATAAAATAAAAAGCAGGCCAGTGTTGTGCAAAAAGAATACAACTTATCACCAGAGAATGGGAGCCGTTTGTGTCAGCGGCCTTCACAGAAACTGCAGCCCAGAGTTCACGGTGGAAATCAATACTCAAGCTTTCCCTAAAAGACCCCAAAAAGGAGATTTTCATCACTGCTCACTCCCACAAAATAAACATTTGACACATTTTGTAGTCCAACGTGAAATGAACCTTGATTGAGCAAATAGGTTTGCCGTTTTCAATACCACGTTCCTTAACACATGTCCACAATGTCGGAGGAGAACGTCGGAGGCTGCATTTAGAAAGGATTTGCTGCACATAAGCAAAACACAATCAAATTAAGGAGCACATTCTCCTCAAAGCATACGTGCCATAAAGAAACTGGCTGCATTTACACACACACACACACACTACAGTACACAAAAATATGTATGAATATGTCGATATTGATGGTGTTTGAAAAACAGTGTTGATTTTACTAATAGTTTGGAGGTATCGTCTTTATGCCAATTACTGTTTGCCCTGTACAAATAGCATCCCAAGACAGCTTCTATTGTGTTGTTAGTAATGTTGTGGTTGTGTATGACTTGATGCCTTGTTGTATTTGCAGCAGGTTTCTTTATGCTGTCAATGTGGGGTCAAATGGGAACATGTGTTTAAACGAACACACATAGGCGGCATACAACCAAATGAGGTTTTCTTTAGGGATTCACTTTTTCTGTTAATACCGAGTTGGATCCACCAGTGGGGACATCCCCAATTTTCTTCACTTGCTTGTGTTTGGTCTGTTTCCGTGAGCAAACTTAAGTGGCGGTGTGTTGAGCTCTCTCTGCCACCATACAGACCTACACATTTGCTTTTGAATAGTAGTTCTAGTTACTTTGCTCACTGAAGACATTTCAACACGTCACAGTAGAAAAAGCACAGGTGCAAATAATAACATTGAAGGTTACTGGTATTGTGAATGCTGCTGGGGCTTACTGGGAGACTTGAAGACAACGGAGCAATTGTTAATGTAATATACACACCGACAAGTCTAAATGTCTGTGGTAAAAATGATCTATTCACCATCCTTTGAGAATTCAGGTGGTATAGGATATTAGGACAATCCACTAGAATTTAGGGTCAAATGCACACACAAAATAGGGTGTACTTGCAGAAAAATACGAGCCAAAGCTTTCAATATTCCTGTTCTGACAACAGATACTAGACTATCAACAGGTGAAGCACACAGAACAGAGGGCATCGTCTCTTGACCTTTGCTTCCTGCATGTACTTTCATCAAGCCAAGGACCAGTCCCAGCATGCTCCAGTGAGACTCACTGCACTCCATTTACAAGGAAAATATTTCATCAAGCTGATAAGCTCCACAGCGATCACAACGTGAAGCCTTGGCTTGGAATTTATCTAAAGGCTGCAATTATTTACACTCTGCTGATAACAAATAACTAAAGGCCCACGAGCCTCCCACGTGGATTGGGTTAACCCTGGCAAGGGAGCACTCTGCCCCCCTAAACTGCTAATACACTTGTGTAATATAGCCTCGATGTTTAACAGGACATGTTAACACATGGTTCATATTCACATCACAGACATTGAACGTCTCTGCAGGAGGTGAAATGGAACTGAATGGTGAGTTTATCAGGAAGTGTTGCTTTAAAGTGACTGGGACACACTCGACTATCCCTAAGTGATTGAGGTAGGATGGAAACAGAGGAGTGTGGAGGATGCGCAATGAGCCGAGAGAGAGATGGGGCCTGACTTCATCATCGGCCATGCTGTCAAAGTGTGAACACAACAGAGGGAATAAATACATGCACGTGAACGAGAGGCTGACGATAGGACATTAGAGAGGCTAATCAAAAGACACCCATTGTGCGTTTTGCAATTGAGGGATTGTCACTTTGGGTGTTACGGGAATAGAAACCGGATGAGGCAACACCTGCTGTCCTAGGACCGACATGCTGCTGGACGTCTGCTAGTTTGTCAACGAGGCCCCACAGCTGTCACTTATCCTTTAAAAGACAAGTACGCCTTAAAATGAGTCAACAACCGCGTGTTCAACCTACCTTTGCCATTCTGCCACGCTGTGTACCAGGACAGGCTGAGGAAGGACGTGAAGAAAATAATCGCAGTGGCCACAGTTCCATTTCTGAGCCTCATCTCATTTCAGCGAAGCCTCTCCTCGGCTGAGTTTTCGGGGACCCCGGAGCGGCCGTTCCCTCCTTCCTTCCTTCTCGCTCTGCCTTCAGGGTGTTGAGACTGGCGTAGGCGCCGGCATATGGGGGGCGTGAAACGGTAAAAAAAGAAAGAAAAGAAAGCCCGTTATAGTTAACCGGACTCTGCTCTAGGAGGTGATACACCCTCAGTCTCGGTCGTTTAAACTGGCTCCTCCCGTACCGTCCTACGGAGATCGGTCACGAGTCAACTGCCCTCCGTGACAACATGGTCGGTTAAGATAGAAGTAGCCAGTTGCCGACACAATCCATTGTAATTTGTTTTTACAGCCAGTCGTTAGTTTCAAGTAGAAGGAGCATTTCCAGTGTGCAGCGGTGGATCCTCCGGGATAGGCTGCTCGCTCTCTGACGGTGTCCGACAAGGAAACGCCTCGAAACACGTTGATTCCGCTTCAAGGCAACTGGCAACAGATGAATTTACGAAAAAAAAGAAAGAAAAAAGCAGCGTGTCCGTCGTGTTGCTCACTCTGAGCCTCGCGTCAATGGAGCAACCTGAAGGCCGTTAACCGACACGGAGTACGTAACGGTCTCTGTTACAGGGAGACCACTTTGTCGTCCATAGGTAACTTTAACGGCAATGGGCCGTACCGCTTCAAACCATTCACTCACAGCAGCACATTAAACGGAATGAGCAGCGTACTCGCGCGATATTTGGCAGCTGGTGGTGCGCGAGAGAAAAAGAAAGAGACTCTTTCTTTTTCTCTCGCGCACCACCTCACTCGCCTCGCTCTCACTCGCTCTCTTAAAGAGCGAGTGAGATTGAGAGCGAGAGGGATAGAGACTCGTTAATTTAAAGACTTTCACATAAATTGAATCATTGGAGAAATGAATTCAGCTGTCTTCACTGTACCGGACTGTGAACAAGTCAGTATTTAAAATGATATAGTTGAATTTCCACAATCTTACAGTTATTACAGGTTGAAATACTTCAAAAGAAAGTGAAACTGAGCAACGACTTCTTCATTAACAAAGCGTGTCATCTAGTGGCCCGGCCCTCAAGCTGCATTAATATTAGGTAATAGGCATTGTTTGTTTCATCCAATAGACATGTTCAAAACCATCAGTGGAAATCGCTGATTAAATAATAAGTGCACTGCCCGAACATTTAATAGTAAAATACCAAGAAACATCCTTTTTATTTCACATGAGATGACTTCAATCAAAATATGTATTGCTATAAGTTCTTATTTTTGGTATACGAACATCATTTATTAGCTGAGTTACCTTGAAAACATTGCCTCCTTTGCAAACCCGATATCACACCCAGGGAGTTAGAAAAACTAAAACTCATTATTTGACACCTTTTATATTAGATTCTGGCTTGTGCTGTGCACGAAAGCGATGTATAACATTTTTAAATTATGAGTCAGACAACACTATTAGTAGGCTGTCATGCTTCATTGATATCAAAGCATATTGCTTATCAAGGAACAGTGATCATTTGTGATCTTTGAAGCGACTGTGCACAAACCGATCTCACTTCAAGGTGTATTTGATTAAAAGTGCAACGGACCTTGAGAAGAGACTGTTTTGACGACCGTTCAATCTAGCTACTAATAGCCGATGTAAACTCATAGTAGCCCCAGTTATTTCCAGGCACTAGATTTCAAAAAAAATGAACAACCACACTTAACTTTGGACTCCAAACCGTCCTTCACATTTCAGTCTCAAAATACAAACCCAGAGTTGTTGACATTACAAATTCTCTTTGAGGGTTTAAATGCTAACTCAACACAACAAATTGATGTTTACTTTAAAAAAGTAGGCACGATAATTGTGTGCGCTGACATTCATTTATTTTTCAAACAGGACACATATTTTAAGGTCAACCCATAAATTATTAATCATGATGTAGAATGTTCTATGACTGAATACATTCACACACCAAACACAGGAAACTGATGAACCGATATTGTGGGATGTTATCGGGCAACAGTGAAGAAAATTCACTTAAAAAGTTAAAACAGCAACAGTATTGCCAAATGGCTGCTTTGGGAACGATTGCCCCTTATTAGAGTCTATAGTGTAGACAGCTGAACGGATCTGTGTAGGCTGGCATGATGCACACAGGGAGGGGTGTTCTCAGAAAGGCGTGGCTGTAAAGTAGTCCTCCAGCGGGATGAGTGATATGCCTCCGATCCAGTCCTGCAGCCAGACCTGGACCAACTCCAGCTTCATGAAGAACCACTTGTGCCCCACTGGCCACTTTGCCATCACAGGATGTCTACAAAAACAAGAGCAACACACATGACCATATCGAACATTTTGTTGTTACGTTATCATCAGGGTTGATGGATGTCAACGTGTACTCATACACCACTACATCTTCTGTCAGCCGAGTTACCTTGAGAACATTGCCTCCTTTGCAAACCCGAGCTCCTCTGGGGCCACCTCCACCATCTTGCCCGTTAGTGTGAGTCGAGCACATCTCGGATCTTCCGGCTCATACACCATTTGCCTTGAAACACAGACAGCCATGTTACCGATCTAACACACACAAACAATAAGGGTTCTAGCTTTTCTGAGCCTCTCGGTAACTTGAAGTTATGCAATTCAGTGAAGTTTGGATCACCAACCAGGCAACGTCGGCAACAAAGGGCCCAAAAAGCTGTGTCGACTGGTTTGTACCAATTATATTGATACATTGTTTGAAAATAAGCAGTGTTAAAGCTGTCAACTGACATGATTAAAGTCCTATATTATCTGTGTTGAAGAGGGCCCCTCTTTGAAGTTAGTTAGTTTCAAGACCTTCTTTATGCTTTGTTACATATTCCATAAATAATTTTTGTTCGGACAAATTACCATACACCAAACTTTGGCACCAGGTAGTATTTAAGCAGGGACAACTGATAAATGTTGCCTATATTCTGGAAAGAGCTGGGGGTTAATGGGGGCCCTGTATTAACTTTTTTTCTTCCTCAGGACCCTTTAACAACTTAATCTGGCCATGAGTTCAGGGGAGTATACAATAAAAGCTGGAGGTTTACCTGCAGAATTCTCCCTCAGCCTCTGAGAATGTGAGCGAAGCGTAGGGGTTACTTCTCAGGTCCGATACGGTGTAGTCCATTGGAGTCAGATAGAAGTAGATGACTCCAGTGCTGTTGTCCAGCGGTCCATCACTGACTGAGAAGATGTTGCCAAAGGGGAGACCTTTGATCTGTTGATATTAATAAATAAAATATGCATAATCCAAATCAGTAACATTTTAGATAAACAATGTGGTGCGTGCACTCTAAGGTGACAAGAAGTTGTTTGACCCGAGTAGTGGTGGAAGAAGTACTTGGAGTTAGAATACAAGTACAATTTACTGCTACGACTAAAAGTCCTCCATTCAAAGTTCAGAGTAAAAGCGTTACCAGCAAAATGCACTAAAGTTAAAGTGCTCATTATGCAGAATGGTCCCTTTCAGAGAGTTAAGTTATGGAGGCCCCAGGGTCCCCAAAGATGATTGTTTTTTTTTTTATCTTACGTGGAAGATATTAATTTGTGCGGTGCACACACGTTGTTGGGACTTCGGGGGCTTTCTTGTTAGTTTTGTTGTGGTGCAAGTTTAAACTTTATCGTTCTCATTAGTACAAAGTAACCTTTGCGTAAATACCAGCAGGGCTTTGCACAACTCCAACCCAATCAGCCACATACCTGAAAACACCCGAGCGGGTTTGCAGGGCCTCAAATCTACAATAATGCACCACAGATTATACACTGATGAATAGAAAGTTGTGTTTTCTGTAAAAATCAAAGTAACCATAGATAAATGTAGTGGAGTGGAAGTATAACGTTGCATGATGAGGAAATACTCAAGTAAACCCCCAAAATGTACCAAATGTAATAGTTGCTTTCCACCACTGGACCTCAGTGTCTCTAAAATCTTTGCTATGGCTCCCTTGACTCTCGTGCTCTCACTTGAGTTTAAAAGAATAGTTTAAACGTGTTGCTTATAAGCTAATAGTCCTAGTTTAAATACGGTAAATGCATTCATTGTGTTCATAGAGCAATTGATAAGTCCCCGTCCAGAGAGACCCCGTCAGGACCTCTGTATATGTCTCACCTTGTCTTGAGTTGAAATGGTGGACAGATGTCCCCAGTCACTGTAGTGAGCGATGTATCTAGCGGTCCTGGCGGTCTCCTGGTGCGGGGGAGGGCCACCGCTGCCGGACTTCTTCACCTTCTCCAGCCGATACGAAAACAAGCGAGAGGAGAGCTGCGCCACATTGTCGCTCTCCGGCTTCGCTAGCTCTCCGGGGCTGTCCGCGCCGTCTCCGAGGACGTTGGAGGACGGATACGCCTGCTTCCACAGCCTCGCGCTGTCCACCAACAACGCCGGGGCGACCTCCTCCGACAGGTCCGCGTCCTCCACCACGTCGTTGGAGGAGACGACCCAGGACACCGAGCTCCTCAGGGTGTAGCTTTGGCACAAACACAGGACGCCGGCAAACACTGCCAGGGGGAAGTGGTGGGCCCTCATATCATTGAGCTCAATGGCCGCCCTCGTCCACTCGTTTGTTTACAACCTCACGCGCGTTGGCTTTCGTAACACGAGGAGATTTTGCAGCAGAGAGCAGCTTTACAGCGACATCTACTGACAAGTCAGGGAAAGTAATTTTTTTAATCATTAATTTTTTTCAGAATTATTGAAAAAGTTCCAGATATTTAGAGCCGTGTTGTTTAAATAGCGGTGGAGAGTAAAAGTACATTTACTCAAATCCAACTTTGAGGTACTTGTACTTAGCAAAGAAGGCCCGCACACTCCGTGGTTGAAATGTAGACGTTACAACATAATTAAAGCGACAGGAACAGACATGTTACCTAATTTGCTGTGACGTACTTATTTAGGCGTCTGGAAATCCTATCACATTTAACTGTTCACACCCTTAGTGCCTAACCTGTCACACATGTTTGCTACCTAACAGTATAATAAGTATTAAATAATTTCCTACTTGAGCAGCTAAATCATTAAGAGTAGGACTTTTGTTCTGACCTTTACTAATGAGCTGGCGTTTATTTAAAAGAGGAGTCCGAATATATCCACAAATGGTGTTGAGACAGTACTTTGAATGGTACTTTGTATTTGACTGAAATAAAGCTGTATCTGTTATTTTGTCCACTTGAATTAAATGCAGGAGAAAACATTATTATTGTTATTGCACCACATTTTTACAATATAATCCTACCAATAACAACAAATCAGTCTAAAAAGCATCCCTCTGACAGGCACATTACAATTCAGGGTTTCACAATTTACAGAACTGACTGGATTTATAATGTTGGTTTCTATTTTACTGGATTTTATTTTATCCATCCTAATCTAAATGTATGAGGAAGATTCAGCGAAGCTAATGCCATGCATGCAGTTGTCTTAATATATTTTTGTATGACAACCAGACAACTAAGCATTGGTAGCATGTGTTCAATGCATGCTCAGGTTTCAAAACAAAAACAAAAACATGTTAGTAGTACGCAGTGTAACTTACCATTTAAAAACCTTAATATTTCAGGCAAGAGTTCCAGCGATGATCTCTTTTCACAGCGATGAGTCACAGCTCGGGACAGGATCAAGATAAGGCTGCCAGGAGGGGCTATAGGCTATGTTAGTGAGTAAGTGGTCGTCCCATTATATACTGGTACATTAGTGCCATGTTTATGCACAGGGAAAAGCTGGGACAACTTATTTACATCTTGACCCACACTCGCTACATATGGTCTTGAAGAAATACTACAATATTATAAGGGATTGTTCCATATTCCCTCTTTTTTGCCTCAACACAACTAGTTAAAAAGTTAATGAATATTTGAATTTCGTCATTCAATATTTTCTCCCTAGCCATCTTACGAAAATGCACTTGACAATTGACACAAGAACTTAACATTATGAATTTTAATATTTATAATTATTTATCATAATTATTAACAGCAGTGACAAGCTGAATCACATAAAACATTACTCAGAAATACCATTTATCTTGAAGTGCTTGTGGTGGAGAGGGATGATAATAAACTTGGACAATTTAAATATATACTCTGTCTCTCAATATAACATAAACACTTAACAACTGAATGAAATTCATCGCACAAACGCAACAGCCTCAACAGAGCTTCCTCTGCATCTTTGTGACAGACTCAACAACACAACTGGTCACACTGTTGTATCTACAGCAACATCTGTCTGCTTTCCTCTCAGTCCATAGACTTATCGCTCCAAGCCATTGACTTTCTTTTGGCCAGTTCCATCCAGGATGGCTGGCCGCTGTCAGTCATGGACTGCAACGCTGATGGCATTGTAGGTGACGATGAGGGAGATGAAGATGGCGCCACATTTTTCCGCAGCCATTTGTCCTCCTGGGGTCTTTCTGGAACTTTGGTGGGACTTGACACTGAAAGAAAAAAGAAAAAAACGTTGTCATGTTGCTGCACATGGAGATACTGAATATTATATTAAGTAGTTCGCAGTTTTAATGAATTTGTGTCAGCACACCTGCAAGTTTCACCCCTTGTCGTCCCTCTGGTTTTATGTCTTGACTTAGGGGCTTGGTTTTGACTGAGGCAGGGGATTCACCTGATATCTGCTCCTCTGCTTGAGCTTTCTTCAACTCCACCTGAGAAAATCAGTGAGTTAGATCATCTGCCCTGGATAACTTGTCAGTCTAAAAAAATATTAGTTGAAGAATGACTCTAGTGCAATTTTTTATTTCATCAATTGTCACCAAATCTCATGAAAAGACCAAAACCAACATGGAATTGATACTAATTGTCTGTGTAGCCAAAGCCTGATACAACTTATTCCTTTGCAGCATAGACTTCCATTGGTGTCCAAAAACACATCAACGAGCCACAACATTGTATTGGCTGGCATACATGTATTACTTCACCAGAAGTCCCGGGACCCATCGGCTATAATTCTGACGACAAATAAGCCTCTGGGGGCAAGTGATTATATTTCTGGGGTTGTGGTGTAGCCACCGGATATCCAGGCTAAGACTTATTTTTCTGTGTGCTGCTCAATTGTTTACTCTTCGATTAGCAACTTGAGATGAGAGACTGGAGTTGGAGTCGAGTGACATTGTGTATGACCAGATTGTATCCCAAGTAGACAGTTTATAAGCTAATATTAAGCCAATAAAAAGTTAAATCCTCGTCAGTCGATAGCCGGTGGGTTCCCAGATTGCATTTCGGCCAATGGGTTCCACCTCTTTTGCTCTCCACACGGACCGTTTACCTGCATTAAACCAAAGACCAGAATCTGTTTATAGAGATACATTTTGAGTCAAATGCACTCTTTACTTCTGTTTGAGTAATGCTTGCTAAAGACGACAGTGTCCAGCTGTTTTAGCCTTTATAAAACATTAAACTATGTTGATGACCTCAGACACAGTTTGGAGGTCAGAAAGTATTGAGAAACAGACTATCGCACTTATGTTTTTTTACTTTTCATGGAATTTGTTGACAATAAGAAAAATATAGAATATCCCCAGCCTTTTTGAATTGAACACGGTATGAAAGACAGTTACAAAGAAGTACCACAAACCCCCTTGGTTCCGGGTGGAGTGGTCCACTCTGCCCGTTTCTCCAACAAAGAAGCCTTCTCGCCGACTCCTACTGAACCGCCCCAAACTGCCCGCCTCGCTGACAGTGGCGCACCCTCTTTTTCCTGCATGGTGGCTTCTCTTTCCCCTCTTCCCAAGGCAGAACCGGGAGGAGGAGATGAAACAGATGATGTGGTGCAAACCGAGTTCGTTGATTTGAGCTGGTTGGCGGTGTGAACACCTCGACTACTCCAGGGGGGTTGCTGCTGGCCGGAGGAAAGGTAAAACTGTGCAAGAGACTGTGTGACGCTCCCTTGTGCAAACTGAGATGAGGTCTCTGTTTGTGTAGAAGAGTGCGAGGGAGACTGGGTCGTCCATGGATTGTTCTGTACAGCCGGATGTGACGCAGACTGAGGTTCAACAATTTGGTTTAATGTTTGGGGTTCTCTGGAGGTGCTTGACTGAACCGGAGGCGTCTTCTGCTGCGCTGCCATTAGCAGCGGTTTGACAGACTGCTCTTGACTTCTACTTCTTTGCACCGTTTCTGCTTTGACTGCATCAGTCGATGGTTGATTTGCGGCCTCTATTGGTGTTGTGCTCTGTTGCAGTTTTACAGTCTGTGCTTGTGCTCCTGTTGGTGCCTCCGCCTGTACTTGTGCTTGGGGTCGAGCCGCTGTTTGCGCACCTGTAAGATCTCTGGGAAATCTACTAGTAAAAAGCTGCTGAAGGCTTCTGGTCTTTAACATTGCCAAGCTCATCCAGGACACCTCAGATGAGGCTGTTTGGGGGGCAGGCTGGGGCTCCTGGACGGAAGGTTCAACTTCTTTGGGGCTTGAGGAGGTCGTTTTGACTTCTGTTGCTGTGGTGTGAGGGTTGACGGTAGGTAGCGGGTTATGCTTGACTGGAAGGGAGAAGCCACACGGGGTTGGATCTAAGGAGTGACACAGTTTAGTTAGACACACTTGGCAGGGCTGTTAAAGTTAGGCTGAGCAGTTAATCAAAGGACAAAGGTCCCCTGTGATGAGTACAAATCTTAACACTCTAGACTGATTATTTCCTAAGCGCAAATTTCAGTGTGCATGTGTTCAATGTTTAACTCTTTAGGGAACTGAAATGGGATAGCAGCACAGTAGGGAGTAAGAAAAAGATACTTTTTTAAAAAATGAATAAATTAACTTGAGATAAAAGGTCTTCTACATGCTGAAAATACCATTTTCTTTTTCTCAGAGACCCACCTTTTGATCGAAGGTCTCCTATTTCCTGACTTTTTAGTTTGTCACATTGCTCCTCACACACTGGTAGCTTAGAGCTATGGGTCGAAGAGGAATCCGACCGAAATCTCATCGCCAGAGATGTGGAGCGCAGTTTAACACCAAATGCTGTCTTTCCGTCGTCGTCCTCGACCTCCTGTGCTTCCACTGCCTCCTCCACCACCTCCTGGTTGCTCTCCAACTCCTCCACCTTTGCAGCGCTCGTATCTGTGGTCACATTTTGAGATGGTGTCACTGATTCCACTTGTTTGAGGCTGTCCTTCCTGTCCCATGGTACTGAACTTTTATGTGGACCTCCCTCTTGTCTAAGTCTTCCCACAGCAAAGGGGCCCCCTCTTAGTTCTTCCTTTTCCCTCGTGCTTGAAGGGGGTTTATCCTCCGTTCCCCAGACTGTCGTGTGTGTGGCCTCAATGTGTTCCAGCACTCCAACAAAACTGCCTGATCGGGGTCTTTCTCCATCCTGGTTTTTGGCAGTGATTGAGAGATGGAAGGACCCAGATCCAGGGGTGGGTCTCCTTATTCCCCTTGTGCTTTCTGTCTCACTTTGAACCTGCTGCTGGACAGAGGAAGACCTGAGGTTAGTGGAGAGCTGGTCGCAGGAGGCATCAGTCAGTCCAGCCTTGTTCAGAGTATTTATTTTGTCAAGGGACATTGCTTGTATCTCAAAATCCCTGTCTCTGTTGTCTTTGAGTTCTGACTGTATAAAGGATGAGTGTGGCTGTTCACTTGGCCTCACATCTGCTGGTCTGTGGGGCTTAACTCTAAGTACCTGGGAGGGTGCAAAGGGCACTCTCCCAAGAAGAGCTTGGTCCTGTTGGGAAACAGCTTGGCTGGATGATTTGTGCACCGCCTCTGATGTAATTGGTGCCACCTCTGGGGATTTTGAAGGAAGACGCTGAGATGTAATAGGAATGGCAACCCCTCCTTGTTCTGTTTCCAGTGTCTGCTCCTCTCGAGTACTAAGGTGCTGCGTTTCTTCTCTCACAGATTCAGGGCGGTTGATGTTGTTTCGGACATGTATGTCAGACTGTAGTTCATTCGAGTCATTCTGTGAAAAAAAGAGATAGAAGCAACGTAAGGGCAGTGCATAAAAATAGTGCAAAAAGCGTGTGTCTTCACAAGCAATATACAAGGTGAAAAAATGGTTATTCACTGCAATGATTGTCTTCCTGGTGCTGGCCCTCTGGTTTCTGGGCTTGAGAGACAGCCGGTGTCGTGCAGCAGAGGTATCCAGACAGGGGGTGAACTGAGCTGGAGAGCTGAAGTCCAACGGCGGCTCAACAACAGAGGAAGAGGAATTGGAGGGGACAGTAAGAGGCAAAGGGAGGGACGGAGTCAGGGGCACAGATATGATGGGCGCAGGTTTGAGGATGGGCGAGAGTGGGCGAGACGACGGCTGGGATGTGGTCTGAAAAGAAAGGAGAAATCATTATGTAACGCTGCAAATACAGGGTCAACATGAAGACACGTGTTTTATTTGAATATTATTGATGATATTTATTACCTAATACCTAACACCAAGATGACCATCTCATCTGTGACTTTGGGGACATATGATGCTCATTTCCAGGTTCATACTAGAACATGTTTTTAAATGCTTTAATATTCAAAAAACATATTCTCATACTGTCTGAATATACAGTACATGAGGATGACTGTCTGAAAAGCTTTAAGCCCTCTCCTGGAAAGCCCAGTCTGCTCTGATTGGCTTTTGGGGAGAAATATGGTACACCATTGCAAAGGTAGTTCTTAAACCGTGGGTGGAGATACTCAGATCGGGGGCGGTGGAGATACTCAGATCGGGGGCGGTATATTCTAATGGGTTTGCATGTGACTTAGGTACAAATCTGAATGGCTTGTTGAATTAAATGTTTTCTGATCCAGGCAGCCCACAACAAACTGACTGGGTTGTCTTATTTGTACAGTTTGTGGCTTGGTGGGCACACCAGATCCCAAAATGTAGGTACACAAGCACTGAAAAGTTTTTCATATGTCCCCTTTAAGGCTGGCTATATTCTACATTTTTTCTTATTGTAAACAAATCCCTTTTAAAAGACCAAAAGCGGTTAAGAACAAAGCATTGAGACAGTCTGTTACACTGGGGGACATGTTCAATCATTATGGTGAAAATGGGTACTTTAGTTTATTTTGAGTCAATCCCACATACGCCGTCCTGCTCCCATAAATACTCACTGTGATCTGTGTGCCTGACAAATGCACTATTTACTATTGAACAATGTTCGCTAAAAGACAGTGTACAGCTGTTTAAAAATGACTGTGCCTTTCAAAATGGAACTATTGAAATATTGAATATTGCCAGGCTTATCCTTTAATGACCACTTGAAACTAAACCAAATCCTAATTCTCGACTCAGACTTGAACCCATAAGACTTTAGGATTGGCAAAATGTCTAAAATTTGGGTTTGCATAACTACAGACATTGAAGAACAAAAAACAACAAAAAAAATAAAGCATGCACACAGTCACACATGTATTGCATTTACTTCTAAGCAGGCATAGGCAAGATGTTTGCATGAATGCGACTACACACAGAGAGTATGCTAGGTGTTCCTCCTCTTCACTTCCTGTCCCTGCTGAACAAAAAATGTCTACAGCTCCTGGTGACGGTGTGACATTTGGATGGAGTTGAGTCAAAATGGTTGGGGAAAAGTAAAGAGGAGAGTCTGATAGGTAAATCCACTTGGGAGGAACTCTCAAAATCGTAACACACCCTCAAATACTCCTAAACTGAAGGTGCACTGATCACGTAAGCAGATAACTGAGCATGTGTCACTTAAGTGGGATAATAAATCACCTTGCTGAGGGCTCCTGTGATCTCGGGGAGGCTTTGGGGAAGACCGTCATCCTCGGAGCGGCTTCCCAGATCCTCTGCACGTCTGACTGGCAGAACCAGAGGCGGCGGCCCCAAATGCATCTTCTGCTGCTGAAGCTTAATCTGTGATACCAGAGGCACAGGTGGTTTCAAGAGAACTAAAGAGCCAGTTCCCAACAATATGCCTAGAATAAAAGGCTATACCTGCAGAGCTTTGATTTTGCTATGGACATTCTCCTGGGATAAGACCCTAGCTGGCTCGGTGTCTGTCAGGACCTGATCAGCCAGAAAGATGCTGTCTGCGGACAATGCCCGCGAGCCCATCATCCCCTCGGAGCATCTGTGGGAGCAGGAGTGGAGGAACAGTAAATAGGGTGAAGGCGTGGACTAGAAATCAGAAAAATGGAGCTGTTAAGCAATCATTTACACGATCATGGAAACACTCACGCCAAATCTTCCTCGGATCCGGGTCCCTTTTCTGCAGTAATGTCACTGGCTGACTGGCTGAGTTTGGCATCTCCCTCTCCACCTCTTCTCTTACTCCTCCCGAAGAGACGATTTTTCAGAGACTTGAGTTTGGACTTTTTACGTCCTGACAGAGATTGAGATGGAGACAGATCCAGGTCACAGCAGCTCACACACACACACACACACACACACACACACACACACACACACACACACACACACACCTGCAGAACTCTCTTAGCAGTCTTTAATTGTTACATCAGATGCATGCCATTGACAATAAATGGTTCTTGGTTTAGGCTAGTGTCCTTTTTGTGAAAGACTTGCTTTCTCTTGACCATAACACCAAAACATGCATGACAGATAATCTCACCTGGAATGTCCTCGGTGCTTCCTTCTGTATCTCCAGAGAAAGACTCCATCGGTCTGTTTGCCAAAAGAAGTGCGGGACAGACGAGAAGGGTGTAAAGAAAGACACAAATAATGAGAAGCAACTGTGACAACAAAAACCTCAGGCATACACTTTTTAGTGGCTGTTGTTACATGCTGGAGGGCGTCTCGAGTGAATACTCCTGCGGTTTGTTCCCTGTTCTCTTGCAGGCACGCATATGCACTTAACGCACTCCTGTGATAGCCTGAAGATGTGACTCAGGACTTGAGGTTCAAAGGTTTATTGGTGTTATCAGGGATGGTGCAAACTAGAACTGAAGCTAGGCAGGGCATGCTGAGGAAACTGTGCCAAGGATATATAATCACAGTGGCTTTTATGAGAGGAAATGCAACATCATCAAGAAAGAACACACCATGTAGGTAACAGACAAGGTGTTAGTATTTCTGATAGGACATTGCTCTGGTAGAAGTATATATCACGCTGAAACAAAGCAGTCCAGATAATATTTTTTAAACAAAGCAGCTTTGCTTATGCAACACTTTGTCTGACAAACACCCAGGTTGGGTTGATGTGTCACTGGGTGCAAGTTTCAGTGCAAGGTGCTTGCCTCCTTTGTTTTACAGATTTTATTTTTTACCCTGCCCTGTGGCTCAAATGTGTTATTTGAGATAGACCACGTGCTGTGAATCCTACAGTTCTCAGCTGTGTTGCTGAGGAACTGTTAAAGAGAGAGTGGTCCTATACAGCATGTGTGCCTGATAAGACAAGATGTGGCTGGTTATGGATAAACATGCAAAGTCCACACTGCACCTCTCCTATCACCCAGCCTGCTCTCAGAATATAAGCACGCCCTATTTAAAAGGATATAAGAGCATGAATAACCACTCCAAAAAGGTTGCTTGTGACCTCCACTACACTAACATTTGAAGTTCTTGCCCTACTAGAAAATGTAAACTTGTTTGTGGATTTTCCACCAGAATGAAAGTTGAATATTCATGAATCAGTTGTTTTTTGTCAGATCAGTTTTGTCATGCACTGGGTCAAGCTATAGCCCCAACAGCAACAAATGATAATCCGGTGGATTATTAACATTGCAGAGAGATCCATGTGAGATTCCACAGCACCATAATCCACAACAACAGCTTAATCACAAACTTCCCATGCCAGGTACTGCATTCACAGGCAAAGTACCTCTCCATCTCAAAGTTAAAACACACACACATTTAAAGACCTTTTTGTGCTAAGATTTGCGAATTTACCCAACGTCTAATAGCAGCACCTCTGCTTCTCGTCCTCTTCTTCGTCCTCCTCTCTTGGGCAGAGTTGTCCGGTCACGGCTGTGTCCTAATGTTTAAACCTCAGGCTTCAGTCGTCCACATCTGAAGACGAAGGGAGACGCAGAGGGAAGGGAACAAGGGAAGTGGAAGGAAAATGAAAAACATCCAGGGAGAAAGAGAGAGAGAGGACACTCCATGACAGGGTAAGCAATTGCACAAAGAGAAAAAAGTACAGAAGAGAATGAGAGAGAGAGAGAGAGAGAGAGAGAGAGAGAGAGAGAGAAGGGAGAGAGAGAGATACTCTATTACATTAGTGGCACACTGAGGCCCTCTGCGCTAAGCTGCTTATAAAACGCTAACCTGATTTTAGGCCCAGAAATGAGAGTAGAGGGAAAAAAAATAAAGCTCCAGTTGGAAAGAGGACAGGCACACAGGAACTACGGCTCATAGGACTGTTTACGCATTACATCGGGTTGCTTACACACCCGGTCGATCGTAAAGGGGAGCATATGTATGTTTGTGCGTGAGTGTGTGTGCGTGTGTGTGTGTGTGTGTGTGTGTGTGTGTGTGTGTGTGTGAATGTGTGTCTAAAAAAGTTAAAAATTTAAAGAAAAAAAAATAATGAACAACCAGGAATTAGCCATTTCCTAGCCCTGGTGAGATCCAGCGTTAATCCAAATGTACCAGACATTGGAGCTAAAATAATCTTTCATAGCATTTTTTGTAGTTATTCAGAGATGTGTGTTTTCATGAATTTAATGTCCACACATCACTGGTCAGGTTTTTTTGCATGCATAAAATGTTGTTGTTGCATGTTTCCACTACATCTACACTGAACTGTCTACGTTTTTCTTTTTTAAAGCCCAAATCTCCCACACAAGTTTTTATAATCAATGAAATGCAACAGTGAATCCCACTTTCTGCACATTCACGCAGGATAGCCTTCAGAGATGGGAACACTATCTAGGCCACTGGGCTACAATCAGTATGAGGGAAGGAAGCAGGAAGAGGAAAGCAAACCTTTGTGTGTGGCTGAGCAGCTTGTCTGATCCTCATCACACAAATCCTTATCTCTTCCACCAGAATATAAACCCAGCCGGTGACATCTGGATTACAGGCAATCAACCACACGTTAACAGACCACAGTGACATAAGAGTCTGGTATGTGGTTTTATTCGTGGATTTATTGTTTGCAATCTACACATAAGGGACAATATTCCAGTTTATTTAAATTAATTACAGCTGATGTGCTGTCCTATAAAGCTGCTCATACTTCACATTGACAGCACCAGCCTTTTGTCCTCTCTGCTCTTAAAACAAAGGTAGTGACGTTTGTTCGTCATGGTCATCTCTGGTTCATGTGGTTCCCTGATGGATTATAATTTCTTACCCTCAGAGCCTATGCATATCGAGATTAAGGCCGTTAGATAATCCGATCACGCCGCTGTTTGAACTCATGCGGCTTTCCATTCATTCAAACAAGCAGTTTCCCATGAATTTTAGGGGAAATATTTGTCATTGAACTGAATAAAATTGGATTCATGTTGGACTCAATATGAGTGCTGACCAATATCTGAAACCCCAAACAAGTGACATACATCAAATTACTTTTCTCATACAAGTATACAAAGCTTGATAATATTATAAAATGTTTTTTTAATATCAACCATTAACACAGATGCCTGGCCAGATGTTACATGTCAAACTAAAAACTGTACTTTTCAAACCACTGTCAACTATCTCATGGCAGTTTTAACTGTACAGTGTGCCTAGAGCCAATAGCAGCAGCAGACTGTGGTGTGAGGGAGAATAAAAAATATTGTTTTTATATGAGGCCTACAGGATGAGAGAGAGGGGGAACGCAAACCAGTGTTGGAGAGTTGCTGACCCCGGTGAAAACAAAAGTTAAAAGGAAAATGGTCGCACACTGGTCGCCACAATGCAAAAAATGATTTAATGATTTACCAACACTTCGACACCACAGTCTTCTTCAGGGTATTGGGCCAACTTGATAATGCTGCATTACTGTTTTGTGGAGTTGCACATTTCAAGCAATTGAATTAATACTTAATGATTAGATGCAATTGAAATGCATAAATCTGCGATCTGCTGAAGTAAATGAACAATAAAGTTCATTCTTGACATTGGTAATGTTTTTTAAGCCAACATGGGGAAGAACATTAATGCATTTACTGTTCCACAGCCAACTCAATCTTCTGATGAAGACCATATGATATGGTCAAAAGCTCCAGCGCAGTCAAATGAATAGGTATTGACTTGAGATTGTTTTTTAAACTGGAAATAGTAGTTTCACTAAAAAAACATTTGCATAATGTTGACGTTCTCATAATTATATAACCCAATCCAAACAAACTATTACAACTGAATAATCTGCTGCAGTGTATTTGGTATCTGTACATACCAAGACAGACTTTATTGAGTTAAATTTAGTTTAAATTTTACACAGTTACTATTCCTGTAAGACTCCCTTTTATTATCATATTTTTACATGTATTAAATGTTTTTGTACAGCATACTTTAAATGTGAGATACTTAATATAAAGTAACTGGACGAGCTCATTTCATGGTCAAAATCAAATAATAAAATAGAGAGACATTTTATGGTATAATAAAAGCACTTCAAACATCAACATTTTATGTTTTAATATATTTGTCCACCAGATGGCGGTATGACATCTTAAAAGCATACAGCAATAGAAAAGTTTAAAAAAAAAGCATAAAACTCTTATGAAAGAAAGTAAAAAAACAAAAACTCTTTTGCAAAAGCACATTGTAAAACATGATAAATGTAATCAGTTACACAGTTGTTATAAGGCCAATCACTTGCATGTTAAGGCAAATCCAAAAACACAGCAGATGTGTCTGTGCGTTTTGAGGCAGGTAAGTACGATAGAAAAAAAAATTGAAGCTTTATGAATCTCATAGTGTTTTTGTGTGTTTGGTGTGAAAAATGTCTACGTTGGTCTCGTGGCACTGCCTGAGGTCATAGTCACAATATCCAATAGAGAATCGGCCCTGGAAGATAAAAGTGAGACACAGACATCAGCACCGCAGTCTGGACAATGGCAGCAATAGAAAAGGATGACTGTTGAGTCTCACCTGAGGTCTCTTGAAGTAATCCAGCCCTCTTCCTATCTTTATGATCCAACCATTGTCAAACCTGAAAAAAATAAAAATAAATACAACAAACTGAAGCAAGATTTTCTTTCAAGAAATGATACCACCATTTGAAAACAATTGCTCTAGGTCTCTCATTCATATGTCAGCTGTACCTGATCTCCCTGTCATGTATCGTGGAGGAGTACTGCAGATCCAGAGTCACTCCCTGAGCACTCAGACTCTCTTTCAGCTCGGCCAGAGCGCCGCTCTGCTGGCCGCTGGCCGCCTGCAGAGTGGGACGAAACGGCAGTGAAACAAACGGCACCAAACGGAGAAGAAGAGACCGCTATGGCTGCCATTCAATCACCACATAGTGAGAGCTCGTTACTTAAACAACCTACTTCATCCTGTGAAGTGAGGAGATGGATCTTTGTCACCTTGCAGGACGCTTTCAGCAGCATCTCACTGAACCGCAGGAAGTTGTACAACTGTAGTGGAGAGAATGGGGAGGCAGTATGGTAAACATTATTTAAATTAGGAATATACAACATTGAGGATAAATTAATGATTGTCTTACAAATATATTTGACCCTATTAACATCTCAAGATACCGTAATAAAGCACATCCCACCTTAAGACCCTCGTGTCCGTCAATAATGTGTATTAGTAGCGCATATTCTCATTTACCCAAACAAAGTTACAATTAATCATAGTACCAATTTCCACAGAGTGACACTGGAGCTCATGGGGCCGCGATCCAGCTTTGTACTAATACAGTACTGTAACTAAAAAGATAATTGAGGGACTGATTGACAATAAAATAATCAGTAGTTGCAGCCCTTGAACAAAGATCTAAAAAATATCTCACTTGGTGCGTGTGCCGTATGTAAGGGTCTTGTACCCAGACTTCTGTGAGCAAACTGCTCACGTATGGCTTGAACAGAACCTCGTAGCTGTAACCAGTAGCATCCTCTGCTATTCTAATCTGCTCGTGGTACTTCCCATCTGACAGGAGAGGGAAGAAATACAAGTTAGAGGAGGCAGACAGCAACTGGCAACAATAAAAAGCCCCTTTGATTGTCATATATTCCTAAATAAATGTCTGTTAGGCCGGTTAATGCCAGTGGTTCACTTTGTTTGTTATTCAGCCTTTAGTGGTTGTATTGTTTACCTTCTTTCGTCTGGTTCACGTGCACTTTGATCTGCTCTGCTCGGTCCATGTAGCCCTTTATCTTCACCCTGTAGTGGCCTCTCTTTGAGTCATCTTTCACAGCTGTTCGCAAGAGACGGGGACAATAACACACTGTGGCTCGTGTCTTCATCGTGCAGCCTCTAACTGTGAACTTTTATAACATAACGTTACCTTTCAACACGTCTATAAGCAGCTGGATGCCTTCCTGGTAGCAGACCAGAGACTCCTGGAAGCGGCCGCTGTGGTCCAGCTCCACCGCCCGCTTCAGAACAGAGATGGCGGACGTCTCCATCCCCGCCACATGATTTTGTGTCATAATTCTGTCTTCCCTCCGTCTTCTCAAGAGCTTCTAGAAAACCAACAGGGTGGTCATGCTTCTCTACTGTCAGGAGAGACGCTGAAAGAAGTGCTACCAGCTTCCTACTTGACAGTTACACAGGTGCGCCACAAAAATAGTTCCCGCAGAAACTCAATGATGGAACCGTGTATGGAATAATGGTCCACGATGGGTGCAGTTTTGACAGAAACCATACAAATAAAGCAAATATATTTTTAATCACATTTTATATTATATAAATAGCACATTCTATCCTTAATACAATCTCAAACATTGTTAAAAAATTTCTCCAGGAACACTTATTCGGGGAATATTTGCCATATCGGCGCAATTTCGATGCAACTCCTCAACGCTTCCGGTGTAGATACATGGAGGGGACGACGCTGCCATGATTCTAACGCTTGTCTGTTTGCGGTTGTTTTTCAGCTCTTGAATTAATATTATTCGTGTAAATTTGGTGAATATGATGTTAAAGTATTTGCGGTTGTGTTTTTATTCATAACGTTTGGTCCACGCGCTTATTTGGCAGTAGCAGGGCTGCACGTTGATGGTAACCTTGGCGTGCATGACTGTAGCATTTTGTAACTGGTGCCTGTTTTTGGTGAACCTACCGAATAATACAACATGTCAGGTGTCTGTCGCGGTTTGAGCTCTCTACCTGTCAAGGTAAGAACACGACTCGGTATGTTTGATGTTTTAAACTGTTCAGCACTCACAGGCTCATATAAGTCATATATACACCCCTCAATGTCGATACTGTGAAGGTATTGTGTATTTAAGTGAGAATTAACTGCCCTTCTTTGTCTTTAATTGGGTGATATTACGATATATATATTTTGTTCAATGCATTTTCCAACTCCAACCTCCAAAACTTTAGCTTTGCTGAAAGTTGCACAATAATTATTCAATGCTAAATTGTGCCATTCCCAAATATCATTAAACTGAAAATGCAGGTAAAATATGGTAAAATAATAATAGTAATATATGGACCTGTTGGAAAAAGAATGTTTAGAACAATTAATTCATTGTACCTGACGAATTAAAGTACTTATTTATTTTGTTTCATAGTGTTGCTAAAATGATCCTCAAAATTAACTAATATTATAATAATTAACTGCCAATATATTAAAGTGATAGCAATCACTGTAAAAACATGATGGCTTAATCTCATTTTTTTTTGTTGACACTTAGAGATAAACACTGAAATGCATACAGAACATAAAAGATTAAATTCAGGAGAAACTACCCTAAGTCGCAGGGTCCATCAAATGTTTATTGTCTCGTGTCAAATCACTCCAACCCTAGAGAGACTGTATTGGTGTGTTCCTGTATCAGGAAACAAATCTGCCTTTCAGCCTATGCTATACTACATCTCATTGCTTGTCGTTTTGTCTCGTCACTGTTTGATGTTCGTTTACAGATCCTGACAGAAGCGTCACTTTTGTCCCCTTGCCCATGGTTCGTGCCGGCACGCAGCAAATTCACCAAAGCGAGAATCCCAAAAGAGGTAAGAATATAAAGTCAGAAGCCCCGGGTTCCCTGTATGCCAAGAAGTGGCACCAAATGTATAAAATTGCTCATTTGTTCTGCTCTTCTAAATGATTAACGCTTCACTTTCTCAGCTGTCAATGTTTAAAGGCTCTGTGTGTGTGTGTTTTTTTTTCTTCACAGCTGTTTGTACAGAGATCAAAAGAACATGAGCGATATGGAGGAGATCCAGACCAACCTCACAAACTGCATATAGTGACACGAGTCAAAAGTGTGATGCGAAGACCGTATTGGGAGAAAGAGATGGTGAAACACCTCGGGCTTGGAAAGGTACGGCTTCTGTTTAGTCAGTAAAATAAAATAAATGTTTGTGGAGAACACAAGACCTAAGAGATTTGAGTAATGTACGATACTGAGATGTATTTCTGAGGACTACCTACACGTAAAATGGGTCATGCTTGGTTCTTCTTATACCTACGACATAAGCATGAATTAGCACCTCATTAAGCATTATACACAGTGTGTTAACATTGCCTTGTAGACCTAACAAAACATTTTCATTAAGATGGATGATCGAATGTTAGAATGTTAGCAGTGATTCCATCACTTAAATATAGCATCACTCTACTGTAGAGGCACAAAGAACATTCATTAAAACATGTGTTGGAGGCAAAATGCAATGTGTAACTTGTAACGCTCGATTGTTCCTCTCTGTTCTCTTTGTCATGTCTTTAGGGACATACACCTGTCATTCACAAAAATACACCTGCAGTCAATAGCCAACTGAAGTTCGTCAAGCACCTTGTAAGGTAAGATGAACGTAACATGTCGGCCTAAAGCTATGAAGCTCAAGTCTCTGCGAATCATTAAAGCATCTGATGACACAACAGATGTAGATTGTTTTTTAGAACATGTGATAAATACCTATTAAAGCTACGTGTCTGGACATTTAAAGAGGCCGTTCGTCTAATCATCATCTGTCCTGGTTAATTCAGGATCGAGCCGCTGAGGACGCCCTATGGACTCCCTGCTGAAGAGGACATGGGGGACACCTACATTAACAGCAAAGGAGAGCTGATTGTTCGTCGCCTCCTCCAACCTGTAGACCCCAAGGCTCTTGAATCTTAGCTCCACATTCATATTAATAGTTAAGTTGTTCATAAATATCATTAAGAATCCATAGCTCCCTGTTCTGGTTCCAATACAATGAGAAATAAAGTTTGTTTTGAACGGGTTCTGGATTTACTCAATACGCGTCCATTAAATGACTTATCAGTCATATATGATTTTGACCTGAAATTTCTTGCTTTGAAGCTGCCCCAATGTTTACTATTTTTTGCAATATGTATATAAGAAATCAAGCTTTACTGTTTTTACTCAATGGAAATGGTGCAATCAACACGTCTAACTGCGATTTTAAATGACTTTTGTTTTCTGAAATGTTTCACCATCACCCACGAATAGATCTATTTCTAGCTGTTAGAAACTCCTGTATGCTTTGTAGAAGAAGAAAAAAATGTCTAGTATAGATTTGGTGCCATTTAAGTTGGTGTGTATGGGCTGTTTTAGATTTGACAAATGCAGCTGTTAAACAGGTAATTCATATTTATCCCCAGCCATCTATGATCTGATCTGAGCTCTGCTCAGAATAATTAAAGACACCCTAACCCACATTAAAAGTTCATTAAGTGTTTTTGAAGGACGGGTCTAAGAAAGTAACAGTATTGTGTTGCATTATGGAAATACATGATCCAGTTTTCTTCCATGTTACCAACTAAAACTCAAAATGCTGCTACATCCAATTCTTTTATCCTATACAAAATTTCATGAACATTTTTAAATTCCTTTTGTATTTTTTTTATTAAGTCAAGTCAAACTGTTGCTACAAGTAAACATGAAGTTTGATGCTGAAAGATGATCTCTGCTGTCATGCCTCATGTTTTCTGTTTTAATATCACATAATGAAAAGGAAAAACAAAAGTACAGAACTACCTAAATGATCATTCAAGACACAGGTTCACAGTTTTGGTCAAAGAGACAAAATCAACAACAAAGCTGAGAGCTGGTTTATAATTGGTTCCGTGAAGTTCTCTTGTTCTTGACGTACATGGCAGACAATTCATTCAACAAGGCTGAAACCAAAAAGTTTTATAAATAGGGATGGGTACCGCAAGGATTTTATCGATGCTGCTTATCGGTTCTCTTTGATTTTGTTATATTTCAATGCCAACAACAAATGTAAATGAGAACATTCCTAAAGAAGAGTACATTTAGAGTCGAGAGCCTCGGTCATCTCCCCACAGCAAAGAAACAATTATTAAGGTGTGTTGGCTGGAGTCGTAGTGGGACTAGCAGCTTCAAAATAACTAAGACCACCACACAGCTGCTCCCCTTATTATGAACCATGTATCAAACAACTCAATCTACACAGACTTACTAGTTGTTACATAAACCCCATTAACTCCTCTGAGAAGCGGAGCAGGCCTTTAACAATACACTGACAGCCCTGTGACACTCCTTCCCCCTCTCCTGTGTCCTCTTCGCTAACGTTACCTGCAGTGGACGAGGATGGGCGGCTGCTCCACAAACAGAGCGCTGAGCATTTCTGCAGATTAATGTTCTGCTTGTTGGCCAAATGTTTTGACAGATTGCTGGTGTTTCCTCTCTTACTTGGGAGGGTTTTGTTGCATTTGTGACGAGAGTTCTCAGCAGCTACTGGAGTAAAACGTAGCCGCACTTTTGATCTTTTCCTTCTCTCTGGCATGATGCGTGTCTAGCACTGTATTGAGTCGGCGTGTGTGTGTCAGAGTAAAGCACGACTTGTGCAAAGACACAGAAATGGAGGTTTGCAACAGTCGAAACTCAATTATTATCAATACTCCGAGTATTTACTACCGTCTTATTGGTTCCCGTTTAGAACCGGGTATTGGGATGCATCCCTATTTATAAAACAAATTGATTTGAGACACTGTAAATTAAAATGTTTAATTAATGGGTAAGTCACTAAGAGAAAGGGGGAAGAAAAATCTTAGTGGGCTGTCGGCTAAACTTTATTATTTTAAAGAGGTAGGCCGGAGAGAGAAAACCAGACAACGATAGGTGCATTTCAGTCATCTCCAGAATCAGAATCGGAGTCGTTAGCTCGCCCTCTGATGGTTTTCTTCTCCACCTTTGTGAACTTTGTGCCCGACCTCGATGCCATTGTAGGAGGCTCCATCAGGTTACCACTAGAACAGGAAAGAAAAGACGTTTTTATCAGCTCATTACTGCGATTCTGTAGCTATGATGCCTGGAAGGTGACGGTGGGAGCCTACTGCACGCCTCACCTGTAGTTAATAACATCTGCACAGCCAAGTCTCCATTCAAGCATCTCTGTGGGAAACTCGTCTGTGTTTCCCAGGTCAGAGAAGCCAACCACGTAGTCCTTTGTTTTTCCGTCTAAAAGCAAGACCAGCGTTGGAATAATCTTGATCCGCAGCCTCTCTGTCAGAAACGGGGCCTTGTCCACGTTCAGTTTGATGAATTTGGTCTCAATATGCTTCTTTGCCAAGATGGCCAAGTGTTTGTCGAGGATCTTGCATCTGTATGTCAGGGACGGAGGACAGAATGACAAGTTCAGCAATCAAATGACAAAGTACTCTAGTTTCAATGAACTAAAAGCTGAGTGCTGGATGTAAAATGCTTTTGCATTCTCAAAAGTGACTAAATTGGGATCTGCAACTAAAGATTTACATTACAGATGTTACCACAGCGAAAGGTGGCATCTTGAAATCGCATGTTTTGTTTGGCAAAATGTTAAAACCCCCAAAATTTAACTTAAAAAAGATGCACACTTCCTGTTTGAGAATCAGGAACTAGTGAATGTTTTGACATATTTAATTGACTAAAAGGATTAATTGATTATCAGTACTGTTGCAGTCAGGTCAATTATATTTATATAACCCAATATCACAAATTGAGCAGCATACACCCTGGTACACCTGTCGCTCTGTCACTATGATCCATAAATACAAAGGACTTACCTGAAGGTGGAATTTTTGTAGAAGTGGACAACAACATTCTTGCTATCTTTGACCTCGCCGAAAAAGTCTTTCTCACTTGAGATTTCTCTGTACTCTCCATGGCCTTGAGACAGCCACTCCTTAAAAAGAAGAGAACTAGGCTGAGTAACAGAACAATGGAACTGGCTTTTATATTCTACGACAATATTAAAAAAAAACATGACGTCCCTTTTGTTGGCTGATCTGGGATGTGTGTCAAAACTATTTTCCCATGAAAGAGCCACAAAGATCCTGATGTATAGACAAACTCCAGAGCAAGAGTTAAGTCTTTAAATCACTCCAGGCTTCCGACAATATTATCATCACTTCCAATAAGGCTACATATCTTTGAGTTGTATATAATTTAAACAGTGTCATTAATATATTTTGCAGTGGTTGCTGATGTTGTGGTATAAATGTTGCACTTGATGTAACAAGGGCATTCATTTTATGGACCAGATTTTTAAATTTGCTTCAGACACAGACTATAAAAACAGTTAAAAGAAACCATCCCACATACCTGCTTCTGTTTCTGGGCTTTTTTAAGTGCATCTAACCGCTTCTCCTTCAGTCTTTCCAAATCATCTTCATCCATTTCATTCAGTTTGCTCAGCTGTGCGTCCACCTTCTCCTCCACCAGCTTGGCCGACTGCTCCAGAACCTTTGCTAAGATGTCCATTGATTGGCTGGCCATGGCTGCCTGCTCAAAGTGAAATTATCTCTGGATTCTGAGAGGGTAAAGGACAGAAAAAATGTCACTATAAAAATGCACAATTATGCATTTAAACTGTACACTCAGTAGCCAGTTTATTAGATACAGTACACTCGGCTGAAACTAATGCATTCTGCAGCAGTCCAGCATTAAATCCTCCCTTCGTGAAGGTTATAATGTTCAGCTTTGGTTTACGTTTTAGAGAAGGTTTTGATTCAATATTATGGTCATTTTAGAGGCTGTAGTTTGCGATGATTTTGAATTGTATTGTGTCACACTGATAGATGTCCCATCACGTGGGTAGTGGGTATTGCAGGGCTGTTGCATTAGATCTAACTCGGTGTACTTATACACTAGCAATGCATGGTTGGCAACTAACATTCGAGTTACTATGAACATCACTTGTGCGAATTACCAAGTGTGTACATAACGTTCCTACAACACTACGCAGAAAGCTGTCAGACGGAGCTGCGCAGTTGACAAAAAGCCTTGGTAACGTCAGGCCACACCTTCTTTTAGCCTGTTGTTAGCTAACATTAGACTAGCTGCGGTTATGGTTGTCTAATTATCTGTTCCGACACTCACCTTTAACCGTCCTGTGCATTTAATTATTACACACCAGTGAATTGAGTAACGTAGCGAGCTTAAGTACTAATTCCCGCCAGCAAACAATCTAACGTTAGCTAGACAACACTATGTTAGCCTGCTAAGCTAGCTGACGTTAGCCATGCGAGTTTCATAGATGTTAACAGTCGCACGGACAAAGATAAACACTTGACTAACGTTAATGTGTGAGATGATGAACTTAACGTTAAATTATGTGTTGTGTTAAAATGAAATATGGTTAATTCCAACCACGCTGCCTTGAATTAAGCGTTAGTTACCTGATGGAGCTCGTCGACACTTCAGTTCGTGCGCGAAATGCAAACAGTCGCTGCGTACGAAACGTCACAGCAGGTCCGCTTTGACGTCAAACTACATCCCGGCATTTCTTAAATTATTACTATTATCTGCAAAAAGCTATATTTAAAAGAAAACTATCCTTTATGGCTTTACGGTTAGTCTTTTTAATTTACAGCTCAAAAACAACTATGGCCTGTATATTGAAATATTTTTTAATATAAAATAAAATCTTGCAAACCGTGAAAAAAAGAAAATGACGGATACTTGACACCACCGTTTGTTCATTGGCACAAACATGCAAGACTTTTGAATATGTTTGCAAGCGGTTATGCCTGCAAGCATACTGCAAACACAATCAGAATGAGAAAAAAGTAGAATTAAGTTGAGTATTGAAGTTTTGTATACTGCTGTATTTAGCTCCTCACCGTCAGATCAGGGACAGTGTCGATGAAGATGAACAGACTTGATCTTTCAAGACTAGACATTCATCACTATTTCCAGTTTGTAAAGTACCAGTAGATAAAAAGCAATTTCTCCCCTTCAAAGATTATTTTCAGAACCAGCGCGATATTGATTTGAAGTATTTCTTCTACTATACAGGCTGTAACTTTAAACAATGACAAAGACAAATATAATAATACATAGTTTACAGTTTATTACCAAGATTTAGAAAACTTACAAACAAGTTCACAGCTTCAGGTCTTCAGGCACAAGCCAGTTTATAGAAGACAAGACTGGCCAATTTTAACGTCTGGAGAGATATGACGGGTAAAGAGAAGCAAACATCTTGGAAGTGAGTGGAGACTTGCACATTCTGAATTACATTCATGTTGACAAGTTAAAAACAATGACTGATGACCAAAATGATTGATTTGGTTTGCATATAGGGGACACTGCTTTAAACAAACGTTTCCACCACACACACACACACGCACACAATGTCTTGGATGGTGAGATCACAAGCCAGCCAGCCAGCCGCATCTGCCGAGTACTACCAATCACCGATCATAAGAGTTACCGTCACAGAAGTACAATGATATAGCCACAAGACGTAAAAATGTCTCCAATGTATGAAGTACACAAGTACATACGTTGAGTTATAAAATAAGGTCACCTATTCCTCTGCAAATCCAGAATTATTTCAATATTCAGATTTGTAAAATGGGTAACTAGGCTGCAAACACACTAGAAAAGATTTACTCCAGATACAAAGGCTGTATGAAATGTTACATTATCTTGAAGGGCCATCTCACTTGCTAATGAAAAAAAAAATAAAGAACTGCATAAGCTACTTATTGATTGCCATAACCCCTGTCAACATCCTCCCATGTCAGAGTGCGACTAAGAATCAACAGTTAACCTCACAGGAAGAGCTTTGGCCAGCTTCACATGTCCGTGTTGGAACACCTACAAACAATTTAAAGAGTGAGAAGATTTTACAATTTAAAGACAAGTTACTAAGAATTCACTACATGTAAACAATACAAGAGGTACACCCTCCACTTACATCTTTTCTTTAAAAACTCAAGCGTCAAGCGTCTTTAAAAACATTATTTACATACTATAATAACACGGTTTGGCACTTTGACAAAAAGAAAAAAGATACTACTGTATGCAGCAGACCTCTGGTTAGATAGTTCACAGGTCAGTACAAGAGGCATTGAGCTCCAAAGAAATGTTGATGAAAAATAATATATTTTATTCCTACAATTTCTGGTATGAAAATGTCTGATGTCTTCAACATTCTAAAAAGGTGCTTTACGTTTAAACATGATTGTGTTTATCACAGTCATTATTTGAAACCTAGACTGATTTAACTTCATAAATGGAAAACAAAACTCAAACGGTGCCTGTGTAACATTATATAAACCTTAGGAACACAGGAGGAGTCAACTGCTATTTCAGATGGAAAACTCTCATCAGGACAGAAATTTAAAATCCTGTAAAGGCATGTCTTGTTTAAGAAAAAGTTCGGCATTGCCTGCAAAAATCCTTATATAAAATGTCACGTGTATTTAGAAAAAGAACTCCAAATGAAAAATTATGAATTTGCAAAAAAGCTACGATTATCACTGTTCTGAGTTTTGGTGAGTAGATCCTAAGTACAATTTCGGCTTTTCAGTTTGTGTCACTTGTCCCTTTAAAAGAGCAAGTACAGGGAAATAATGAACTGTACACACTCAAATACTGTCATGGCTCATGTAACACTTTCTCATGTTGTGTGTGAAGTCATCAATGTGCGTCCCATTCTCAGGAGGCCACTGAGGACCTGAAGTTCAGAAGGAGGAGAGTCATCATTTAGACGTCACACTTTGTATTGCAGATGACCTTTGCGAACGTGGCAAAACGAGAGTGGTTGTTGTAACGGTATCACGCAGTGAAAGCCGGACTCCCGCCTCCTTCATGCTGCCTTCAGGGTGCTACCGTAAGCCTGCTGCACCACCACCTGCACGTTGTCTAGGATGAAGTCGAACGCCATACTCCAAACAGACTCTACCGACTGCTGCATGAGCCTGCAGAGAGGAGATCAAAAGGGGACATAAGAAATTAATGAAAGCAAAAAAAAGTGGGACGTAGAGGAAAGGAGGGGGTTTAACTATTCAGTACCTTTTCATATATTTTATAATTAAATCCAACTTCTCCAAATCCTTATCCTCAATTAGATCAGTGCAGTATTTCACCACCTGCAGGATGTCCTCCTCCATCGGGTCTAACAAAAAGTAAGAAGTGATTAAATATGCATAACAACATACCTAACTGCGTGAGTAGGCGCTATGACGGAGCGGTTCTTCACCGCATACCTGTTATGGTGGTGACCCATTCCCGCATAAGTGTTTTGATGTCGGTCAAGTCATAGGCTCCGGCCAACACTGGAGCAGGGCGAGGGATGAACCTGGACAGAGACTGTGGCATGTCTGGTTTTGAGGCTGATGTGGACGGACCATTTTCAGCCTGGGAAGGGAAATCAGGTGTGAGCCGGACAGATAAAGAAATTATCTATCGTCACATTCTGCCATCATCTTCACACGTGAAACTGTTCACTGGCTCACCTTTAATATGTTCATTGGTTCTCGGGATTTTATAGGAGGTGGCAGCGTTTTGCCGGGGCTGTTCGTCGCGTGACGCCTCTTCAGAGGTGAAGGACCTTTTTTAACGGGGCTCACTGCATTCTTCCTCTTGTAGCGCCGCTTCACTCGACCAATGCCGACTCCGAGTCCCGACTGCTTTAGCTGCAGCAGTGGATTCTTGTGCTCCACTGCTGGGAAATCAAGAGGAAAAAACACGAGATAAAGAGAATTAGCGTGATGACAATAGCAGGAAAAAAAAGAAAAAAAAGAAAAAAAAAAAAAAAAAAAAAAAAAAAAAAAAAAAAAAAAAAAAAAAGCAAAACTCGTTCCTAACAAAGTCACCGGGGGGCTTACGTATATTTTCCTGAGGCTGGACATTTGTTACGCGGTTGTAGGCAGACTTCAGCTCGGCCTGGAGCTCTTTGGGGAGGGCAGCAAAGACGTCTGGATCAACCTGCGGTCAGAAAGCCGAGGGACTAAATGAAAATGAACACCTGGTCACAATCAATGAAAACAGCTTTAGATAAATGGGTACAAATATGCACAATCGAAGAACAGCTTTTGCCCTTCCAATAAAAAAAAGGTGCCTCTTAAGGATTACATGTATTGATATTTTTAACATATGCCGTAATAAGTGCTTAAATTTCTAGGTGACAACTTGGCCTTCTGACACAATTTCATTGACGAAAGGCAGAATCTGAAACGGTTGCTTCCCTACCTGTGAGAAGTTTGGTAGCTCCAGTACAATTCCCGGACTGTCTGGCTGGTTTGGGATCTGTAGAAGCAACGTGCCAACAGGTGGAACGTACAGTGCAGGACCGGGGGCGGGAGGACGAGACTTCAGAGAGGGAGGCAGTGGAAGAGGAGCAGAGGGCTGCGGACTGGGTGACTCGCGGTTACTTGGCCTCCCATCTCGATCGGTCCACGACCGCTCCACTTGTTCCCTCAGGTCTGCAGGCAACGCCTCCAACACAGAATGATCCACCTTGGGTACCATGAAGACACACAAGATGCTGAAAACGTTCAGCCGTTCAGCTGTTGTTTGAAATCAATCAGACATCTTCTTCAAGTCCTTACCTGTGAAGGGGAGGGGATCTCAATACTGAAGTTGAGACGTGCTCGAGAATGTTTCGGAGTTTGTCTGCGTGCCCGCTGGTCTCTGCTTGTACCTGGGACCGGCTCGGGAGAGGACCGAGGACGTGGAGAGGAAACAGACGATGGGCCTGTGGTTGAGGAAACGTCGTGCCGATGTGTGTTATTGTCAGCAGACGACGACAAAGTCAGAAACTGAAACACAAAGGCTTTACACAAACCTCTGTTGCTGGATCTCGCACTCAATCCCCGGCCTAGCAACATCTCTTTGATGGAGCAAGCCCCGGGGCCCGCGGAGCCCTGAGGGACGGAGTGATGTCCGTCAAGGAGCTGAACCTGGATGCCGACTCCTCTCATGTCCTGAACCTGCAACTTCATGGCATGGAACAGCTTGATGACGGCAGCGGCAATCAGATGACCACTGTCAGTGGACTGAGCGAGCATCACAGTCCTGACAGGAAAAGGGAGACGGATAAAAATGAGTCTTAAATAGAGACAGTGACACGGACAGGCAATGGAGGGACGACATTATCAACCATCTGTAACACCCACAGATGAAGACCCCTTTCTTACCTGGCTAGGTTATCACATATGCCATGACCGCCGTATTTGGCCGATTCCAGTGGCGCTCCAACCTTACGAACCATGACCTTAAGGGTAACTCTGCGCCCCCGC